CATTTTCAATTTTTTTTTGGCGAAAGTCGAAACTAGTTTCGACTTTCGCCTTTTGCGAAACCTCTAAGTTTCGCCTACCAACACTACTTGAGACGATAAAAAATAAATGCCTTTTGTCGTCCCATACAATACGTGTGCATATGCCAATAAATTACTATTAGTTTTGAAGGGGTTTATACTGATCTGCGATTGCGAAAAAAAGATAAAGCAGTATATTTAATAAAAATTTGAGTTATTCGTGAATAAAGAACGATTACTCTTTATTAATAAATTACAAGTGAAAATCACACCGAAAAGTAGTAGGATATCGTGGCTATTTTACATTCGAATGTAATAGATTTTCACGGTTAACATTTAATTCACTTGCTATCATTAATTTGATGACTATGAAAAATATAAATATAGAGCAAATAGAAAATATATTAAGTAATTATATAAAGATGAATATAAAGAATCGTGGAGGTAAATAATGATCAAATATTGGAAGTGTGACCAATAAGTGTCTGTCCCGCCAGGTGTTAATCGTAATTCGTGTAACGGTCTGGATCACATATTTTCGCGGACATCCTTCGATCTACCATCTAAATTTGATAATGTAAATTTGAGGCTTATTGAACTAAATTAAATTCGAGGACTAATTCTAACTTTTAAATCTTGGACATTATTAGTTGTTGAGGTAACAATTTTTAATGGTTCATGCATATTTACTAACGCAACATTATAATACCTATAAACTAATGCCATTAATAAAAGTAGTTCACACATTGCCAATTTCCTTCCGGGACAGATTCGTGGACCACCACCAAAAGTTATCAAAGAATATTTATTTTCAGCTTTTTTATCACCTTGATCACTATTATAAAACCTATCCGGATCGAAGACTTTAGGATTAGGCCAAACATCAGGGTGGCCATGTACCCCCGTAATATTTAGGTGAAACGATGTACCAGCAGCCCATTTATAACCTGCAACTTCATACTCCTCATTAATGTGGCGAATTAAAAAATTTGTAACCGGAATCATACGACTAGTTTCTTTGATTATGGCCTCACAATATTTTAGTTTTGAGAGATCATCACTTGATAGGTAGTATTTATTAAGGGATTGCGAGAAGACTAAGTCAATTTCTGAAATCATTTTTTGTTTTACATTTGGATGCTTACAAATATAATAGGTTATATAGCAAAATAAGTTGGCAGTCTAAATGTAGACAAACAAATGGTAATAAGAAAATTATAGGTATATAATAAACTTGATGGAATAATAGATATTTGTAAATGCAAACATTACTTACAGTATCTGTTCCAGCCGCTAAAGCTTCTATCAAATTATTTCTGATCTCTTCATCAGCCATAGGTTCAAGTGCCTCACTATCTACTGTTTTTATATTAGCTATATCCTTTTCGGTGTTTGCAATTATCAAGGAAGTTAACATATCAGTCTTCATTTCTGTACCTACTGGCATTTTTTCAATCTCTTTTCTTCTCTTTTTAATTATTTGCTCAAATTTTTCATGTATATAATCGCGGTTTTTTAAGTAAGAATTTGCCATATTTTTAATTACTGGAACGTAATGTCTCAATAATGGGCCAACAAACATAAAGAATGCAAGACTTTCAACATATTTTATTAATGCTTTGACGAGCTTATCACCATTTTCGACCAGCGCATCGGAATGTTCAGACTTGACGTTACTTTGCATATTATAGTAAGAAGCAATCGAAAACGTACGTTCTCCAGTAGCTATTATTGAAATAATATCATTTGTAAATGCGTGAAACCATTTAGAAAAATCAGCTTCTAAAGCCCAATTATTATCATTGTCATTTAAAGAATTTTTCTTTCCAAGAGACTCCCAGTATTCGCACAATTCTTTAAACAATTTATTTGTAGATTTTACGGCAATATCCATAAATTTAGGTGTTAATAATGCCTGAGTAAAGAATTGCCTATTATACTTCCAACTCTTACAAACATCATTGCAAAGGATTCCACGTCCGTACAATCCAATTTCGTCTAAACCTTGCGAATATGGGAACTTTGCTAAGAATTTTTGAGACATAAATTTTTCAATATATTCAGGTCGCGAGAGAATGATATATCTACGCCCCTCAACCATTATTTCACAAATATCTCCATATTCAGATCCACATTTATCATAAAACAGTTTCAAATCATATGCGATGTTATGAAGGTTTCCAATGAATGGTAAAGGTAATGGACTAGGGAGTGGATTAGGACGAGTTAAATATTTATAATAAAAGTTAAAAATATATGTAATCAAGATTAGGACGAAGATAATGAGATAGTCTTTAATGTTAAAAGATTCAATAATTTTTTGAATAACCATTTTGCTAATATGACTTTACATTAAGAAATCGAACGTGCTTAATATATGCCAAAATCCAAATAACACATTCTTTTCCAAGCATAGTAATAATTGATCACATTTTTCATGCTTTAACAAAAATCGTTAAATTTTAAGGGTGTTAATGAATAATTTGTTTCTTATTGGTAGATTACGTTACACTATGCATCATAAATTAAGGTTATTCAATAATACCTGTGTGACGTTATTGAAAAGAAGTATGACCTAATCTATAAATGTAGAAACTTTAATACGTACGATCCAGTCATCATTATTACACAGCATATTCATATATACAAATAAATCAATCGCATTTATCGGTTTTTGCAAAATGAATTTTGCCGATCGCAGTTCAAATGAACAATCACTTTATTGTCGTTCAATTGTATGTTTGTAAAGTGATTTCTTGATCAAAGATTCAATACAAATAAATTAGTCTTATAATTTATGACTTTCTATATCCATATGATCAAAATAAGACCCATATTCTGAAAAATAACTTCGCACAATCATGCAATCGAGCAACAATAAAGTGATTGTACATGTAAAAAAATTTGATCAAAGTTAAATCGTTTTGCAAACAGGATAAATGATGCTTTAGAACATTGAACACGAATCAGGTTGGTATTACGGTTTATAATTATTATGATTTATTTTAAACTAGACATAGAATCAACTAGACCTTGAAGATCGAGTAACTATAACGTATTTAATCAGTTCAATGGTAATTCAGTTCCTAATTGTAGGACCAGTCTACATTTTAATTACTGATATTTTATGTTATATGGATTGAGTTTCGACTAGAAAATAAAATGATTGGAGTATTAAATACGGTCAATTTAGCTTATACCAACTTTCCGTAAAAATTTTCAAAAAGACTGGTTTAAAAAGCTTACTACATCTATAAACTGATCTTACTAAAAATTTTATAAATGTTTGAAGCTTTATGTCCACAACATTAATAAACTGGTCTTATCAGAAACAAGTGCAACTGAACCGTAGGGATACCAACAGTCCTGTTTAATAGTCTACAGTCTTTGAGAATTAATTAGTCCAGACTATTAGACTGTTTAGTTTTTAGACTGAAAGCAGATCATTTTTAAAGTTTCAGACCAGTACGTCACACAACAACTGATACTTTATGTTAAGTAGAGTATCCATTTATCCATTTATCTATCGGATATCCAGATCTGAATTTATTCAGATATCTGTTTTGCTATTGATATTCGGATAATTATCCGAATATTTGTAACAGGAGGAGCCGTCGATGTTACACGACTGATCCTTCACCCAATGTGCAACATACAGTATAAAAAAATTATTTTACAAAGCCAGATCATACCGCTAGTACATGTTATGATTATAATCCTACACCATTTTTATTATAACAAAATGGTGTGGGATTATAATCATAGCTTGTACTAGAGGAATGATCTGGTAAAATAATTTTTTTATATGTTGCACATTGGGTGAAGGATCAGTCGTGTAACATCGGCGGTTCCCCTTGTTAATATTTGTAGGATTATCCGGATAAATTCAGATATGGATAAATGGACAACGGATTTATCCGGATTGAAAATCTAATGACACGGGCGAAACGGCGAGTCAGTCGCTTCTCAAACGGATATGTAGTGTAACCTACGAACGGCTTAGTCGATAAGAGGCGGTTAGATTTGTTGAGTGGTGTATTATGATCGTAGGTATTATATTAAAAATGGAAGCAAGGTTTTATTATTAGGGGACAGAAGTTTTTAGGTAAATCACGAACAACGAACGTTTCTTCGTAGGGCTTGAAGCCTTTATTATATACTTTCATGTACTTAAGGCACGTTTTACATTCTATTCGTGATATAGCTAGTGATGTGCCGCGTACAGTACTATACGTTGTGAACGGTAAAAGATCGTCAGGTCGGTGGCTCCAAAATCGGGTACGACGTATGACCACTCTGGGTTAATATCGGGTCGAAAGAGGCGTGTTAGATTTGGCGAGTGGTTAACGGTGTTTTATTCGGGTTCACTTAACGAAAGGGAGGCTTCGGGTTGGTTATTGGGTAAGTGTACTGACGTATTTTATGTTATTACCAGTTAGGGACAGATTATGTATTAATTAATGTATTATTTTATTTGTCAAGGGTGGGAATTGTGTTTTCTCCCAAAGGGCCTTTTCAGCCTTTATTTATAATTACGAATACTTATTTACATCGTGCAATTTATACGACTGATATCACTAATACGACTGATGCATCGTATCCTACTGATAGCTCCCAAAATACCCTTCTGACCGATCGTTGTTATCTGTCACATTCGTCACATGCGTCACATGCGACTGATCGGTCGCATGCGATGAATGCGACAGATGTGATCAACCCCCTTTTCCGAATTTAGCGATGGACCCTAACTGGCCAGGGTCCATTCAGGTCCCACAACGTACAGTACAATACGTACTGTACGTACTGTACGCTAAATTTTTTGCCAATCACTTTTTCCAGCCAATCAGATGCAGGAAAAAAACTATACGTACAGTACGTACTGTACGTTGTTATCGTAAAACGGCGAGTCAGTCGCTAATCGGTCAGGTTCCTCGTGTAACCTTTAGGGTCGGTAAATTGGGTCGAAGG